ACTTTTTTCACACTTTCATGGACTTACTTTAAATTGCATTGGATTTTCCTAAACTACACACGAAGAACATTCACAGAATTTCTTATGCATTTTATACCTGAAAGCTAATTGACGTGGATCTTTACTGCAAACTCCAATTACGTGACCGTTTGCCAAAATGGCCTAGAAACCCGTTTCAAAGCCACCTGCAACCATTGCATTTAAAATATTAGTTATATGCAGTTTATACTTTACTGTCATGTAAAATTCATCATAAAGCATGAATGTACATCCCCAACAATTACAGCTGCAGATTCTTAAAATTTCTATCAGGTTCTTACCGAACAGTTGTACATACAATATAAAAATAATAATAGTTGATAACTTCTAGTCCTTAGTCCTAGCATCAGTGAATTTAAGGGGAACAATTGCTAATAAACAATTAATGGAAAAAGATCAACAAAATAATTAAGCCAAAAAATCAACAATCCAATGATAAAGGGGTTTGGAATGTTCACAAAGCAATAGAGTAACAAAGTAAAAGAGGAGACTGAAACAAACAAAAGAGAATAAAATACCGAAATCGGAGGCAAAAGTTGATGTATTTTATAGCTAGAGGAACCCACGCCTTTTCTGGGCTCATTGAATGAGCGAGAAGAAGAATTTAAGTTCTTATCAATTTAGTGTGTTACTTGTTAGAATTCAAACAGAATGTGAGGGTTTGGCCAACACAAAATGAAAAGGAAAAAAAAAAAATTGGACAGAAAAAGGGGATGAATGAACCATTACCTTGTCTTGTTGATTTTGTTTAATATATACGAATTGCATGCGCGTAATCCCAGCACGTGTACCACTACGACCCTTCCTAAAACTATTGATGGTTTTGAGTTTTCCACTAAACATCCACTAAATAGCAAAGTTGAAGGAACGAATTGAGAAACTGTAAGAAGCAAAGAATCAAAAATAATTAGAAGTCGTAGACGCAAGTGGATGCTGAATTATATAATTCTCTTGGAGGAAATTAAAGGAAGATCGTGGTTGGAATGTATTCGTTGTTTGCAATTGAAGGAGGCACGACCATGACCACAAGTGCAGTGAAGAGAGAACGTGGAAGCTGGGTATTAGGGTAGGTAACTGAAATTAAAAAATGGGCCTTTTGGAGCCGGCCCGTTCGCAATGTAGTGTAGTTATGGGTTTTATTTGCCATATTTGGCCCTTTAACAATGTATTGTTGGGCTTTAAAGAATGCTCAAGTTGCATAAACTAATTGAAGTAGGTTCAATTTTTTAACTCTTTAAAGATTTAGGACAGAGACATGGATTCACTTGTTACTGGGTGACTTTTAACTGAAAAGCTTGGCAACATGTTTAAGATCCTTATTTTCCTTCAATTAGGTTTTTCAACAGTTTTTAAGGTTTGATGAATGACAATTTAACAGCATCCAAAAAAATGGCAATTTAACTATTACAATAAATGTAAATTTGTATTAAGAGTATTATGAATTTTCTAAAAAAATCCTAATACGCATATAATAAATTTAATTAAATCATGTTCATTAATATAAGACTCAAAATTAAATTTTCACTTAATGGAAATAAAAAGTCTAACAGATACACTGCACAAAATTTTTTCCAAAAAGTGGCAGAAGAAACAATTATAATATTCAATTATAATAGCACAGGTATGGGTGTGGACTCCAAATCAAGTTTCAAATTCCTTAATTTGATGCAAGTGGTACAGAGCTTGTTAAGGTCATAGTAGAGGACTTTAATGAGGTGTCCTTTCCTTTTTGGCCAGCTTCAATAGGATGTCTAGAACATCTACATCTTTTAGGAGTAAAGGTGCAAATAAGGAATCCAACTTTGCACTTTTCTGTTTAAAAATGTTAATTTTGTCAGTTTCTAAATAAATATGTCAACTTTCAATTTTTTTTTAAATAAGGATGTTAACTTTCAATTTTTTTCTAAATAAAGATGTTAACTTTGTCAGTTTCTAAATAAGGATGTCAACTTTCAACATTTTCTATTTAAGGATGTCAACTTTCAACTTTTTCTATTTAAGGATTAATTGAATAGTGATACTGACGTGGCTAACATATTTTTTTAGGTTAAATATTTGAATTGGTCCCTCAACTTTTATTTTTGAACCAATTCATCCTTAAACTTCAGAAAGTAC